CTCTCTCTCTGACCCTCCCCTGTTAATGCTATCTCTCTCTCAGAAATAAATAAAAAACATTTAAAAATTTAAAAAAAAAGTCTTTCCAAATAAACAAAAATTGAAAGAATTTGTCACCACGAAGCCAGCCCTACAAGAAAACTTGAGGAGGACTCTCTGAAGGAAATGTTGCAAGGAATGCAAGATACCAGAAACACCACCACAAGCATGAATCCCACAAAGGACACGACTCTAAACCCACATATTTCAATAATAACACTGAATGTAAATGGGCTGAATGCTCCAATCAAAAGACATAGGGTAGCAGAATGGATTAAAAAACAAAATCCATCTACTTGCTGTCTACAAAAAATGCATTTTAGACTAGAAGGTACCTTCAGATTAAAAGTAAGGGGATGGAGAAATATATATCATGCTACAGGAAGTCAAAAGAAAGCTGGAGTAGCTATACTTATATCAGACAAACTGGACTTTAAATTAAAGACAATAACAAGGGATGAAGAAGGGCATTATATAATAATTACAGGGTCAATCAATCAGGAAGAACTAACAATAATAAATGTCTACACACCGAATATGGGAGCACCTAAATATTTAAAACAATCACAAACAGAAACAATCTTATAGATAAGAATGTGCTAACAGCAGGGGACTTTATACTCTGCTTATAACAATGGATAGATCAACCAGACAGAAAATCACTAAAGAAACAATGGACTTGAATGACACATTGGACCAGATGGATTTGACAGATATGTGTATATATACACACATACACAACTCTACATCGTGAGGCCACGGAATTCACTTTCTTCTCAAGTGCGCATGGCACATTCTCCAAGATAGATCACATACTGGCATACTGGGACATAAAGCAGCCCTCAATTAATATAAAAGAACTGAGATCATACCATGCACACTTTCAGATTATAATGCTTTGAAACTTGAACTCAATCACAGGAAGAAGTCTGTAAAACCTCCAAAAACATGGAGGTTAAAGAACACCCTACTAAAGAATCAATGGGCCAATCAATCAATTAGAGAAGAAATTTAAAAATATATGGAAACAAATGAAAATGAAAACACAACAATCCAAACTCTATGGGATGCGGCAAAGGCAGTCCTAAGAGGAAAGTACGTGGCACTCCAGGCCTATTTCAAGAAATTAGAAAAAGCGCAAGTCCAAAATCTAACAGCTCACCTAAAGGAACTAGAGGCAGAGCAACAAGAGCACCCCAAACCCAGTAGAAGAAGAGAAATAGTAAAAATCAGAGCAGAAATAAACAACATAGAGACCAAAGAAACAATTGAACAGATCAATGAAACCAAGAGTTGGTTTTTTGAAAAAATAAACAAAATTGACAAACCTCTAGCCAGGCTTCTCAAAAAGAAAAGAGAGAGCACCCAAATAGACAAAATCATGAATGAAAATGGACTTATGACGACCAACCCCTCAGAAATACAAGCAATTATCAGGGAATGCTATGAAAAATTGTATGCCAACAATCTGGACAACTTAGAAGAAATGGACAAATTCCTATACACACACTCACTACCAAAATTCACACGGGAAGAAATAGAAAACCTGAACAGACCCATAACGAGTGAAGAAATCGAATCAGTGATCAAAAATCTCCCAACAAATAAGAGCCCTGGACCTGATGGCTTCCCTGGGGAATTCTACCAGACATTTAAAACAGAATTAATCCCAATTCTTCTCAAGCTATTCCAAAAAATAGAAGTCGAAGGAAAACTCCCGGACTCATTTTATGAAGCCAGCATCACTCTGATT